TTTTTTTTTTTGAAACACAGTTTCACTCTGTCTCCCAGGCTGGAATGCAGTGACTGCAACCTCCACACCCTGGGTTCAAGCGATTATCCTGCCTCAGCCTCTTGAGTAGCTGGGACTACAAGCACATACCACCACATCCAGCTAATTTCTTTATATTATTAGTAGAGGCAGCATTTCACCATGCTGGCCAGGCTGGTCTTGAACTTCTGATCTCAAGTGATCCACCCGCCTCAGCCTCCCAAAGTGCTGAGATTACAGGCGTGAACCACTGCGCCTGGGCTTATTTTAGTCATTCTGGTAGTTTATGCAGTGATACCTCACTGTGGTTTAAAGGTGTGTTACCTTGGTGGCTAATGAGGTTGAACATCTTTTCATGTGTTTACTTGCCAACTTTACATACTTTCTGGTGAGATGTCTGTTCATTTCTTTTGCCCATTTTCTAATCTGATTATTTGTTTTTTTAACTCTTGTTTTCTATTCTCCCTTTTATTATGTTTTTTAGAAAACACTTATTAGCATGTACTATGTTTCAGCCATTTGAAATACAGAGATAAAAGGCAGAATTGGCCCTCAGGGAACTGGCTGTTTTGGGAAGAGACAAGGGAGCATGTTTCTGTGTAGGTGGGCACCGACCGACCTCCTAGCAGGAGAGTCAGTAAAATCTTGCTTCCTGGTGGAGGTGACATCTGATCAGTGTCTGAAGCATGAATATTCGTTACACTTGATATGTATTATACTGTCTTTACATTAGGACATTAATACAGTAAGAAATAGATAGGGCATTCTAAAAGCCGCCTCAGGGCATCCTTCTTTATAAGTAATTTGTTGTGTGAACTTAATTCAAGATTAGCAAACACTGAACACAAATGTCATGTTTCTTGGGGATTCTTAGAGATGACAGTATTCTGGACCCCAATGATGTGTGATCCAATGGGAGCTGGGGTTCCATAGCGAGCAGATAGCTGCTGGTTACAGAAACAAACTTAGTCACATGGGAGTTTCAGGAGAGTGACACATTAATCCTCACTAGAAGATCGCAGAAGGGGGTTGGGGCTAGGATTTGAAAAATGAGAAGAGCTTTAACAGGTAGATATAAAAGGAAACGGATTTGTTACACACTCATAGGTCCCTGCATTTTACTGATTTCCAGTTCCCATCTTGCTGTTACCCAGAGTTGCTTCTGAGGAAAGGTCAGCGATCTAGGGTCAGACTCCACATCTTGCTAATGGGTCCGGTGGAATAGGTCGTGTGGAGGTTGCATTTAGTTTTAGGGTGAGATTCACAATCTGTAGGAAGGAAGTCCATCTTGCAGATAGATGGCCTGAGGCCTAGAGAGGGTCAAATTCAGCCCAGCCCCATTGCCCTACTGGCCAGGCCAGTGGATTTGTTTTGTCTAGAAAATTCTCAGTCCAATTCACTGGTGTGAATTTCACCCAGTGGCTCTGCTAAAAATAAAAAATTGCTTGATAAAAACAAAATACTGCAAAGTAAGTGGACTGGGGAGTACTTATTTGTTTAAAAACACAGCTATTTATCTCATGAGTTTTTTTTTGTTTGTTTTTTTTTTTTTTTTTGAGACGGAGTTTCACTGTTGTTACCCAGGCTGGAGTGCAATGGCGCGATCTCGGCTCACCGCAACCTCCGCCTCCTGGGTTCAGGCAATTCTCCTGCCCCAGCCTCCTGAGTCGCTGGGATTACAGGCACGCGCCACCATGCCCAGCTAATTTTTTGTAGTTTTAGTAGAGACGGGGTTTCACCGTGTTGACCAGGATGGTCTCGATCTCTTGACCTCGTGATCCACCCGCCTCGGCCTCCCACAGTGCTGGGATTACAGGCTTGAGCCACCGCGCCCGGCCTATCTCATGAGTTTTTAAATGTCCTTTAAAGGACATAATTTTGGGGGCCTGGCACAGTGACCCACACTTGTAATTCCAGTACTTTGGGAGGCCAAGGTGGGCGGATCACTTGAGGCCAGGAGTTTGAGACCAACATGGTTATCATGGCGAAACTCCATCTCTACTAAAAATAACAAAAATCAGCTGAGTGTGGTGGCACAGGCCTGTAGTCCCAGCTACTGGAGAGGCTGAGGCACGGGAATCACTTGAACCCAGGAGGTTGAGGTTGCAGTGAGCCGAGTCCAAGATCGCGCAGTTGCACTCCAGCCTGGGCGACACAGCAAGACTCTGTCTCAAAAAATAATAATAATAATATGACTTTTACATATACTCAGATAAACCACATTTACCAATTAAGTAACTTGCAAAGAGTGTCACAACAGGATAAACCAACCTCAAAGCCTCTGTTCAGCAGAGATTAAAATCAGTAGAAAACTGGAAGACTTCATGAGCTGGGGAGAAAGTCAGGTCTCTTCTCAATCAGAAAAAAAAAATTATAAACTATAGGATAAACATGAAGTCATGGCCCAAATATGAGGCAAAGTAAACTGTAGCATGATTGTGAGAAATTAATGAAGAAAGGATATTTCAAGCTGGGCAAGGTGGCTCACGCCTGTAATCCCAGCACTTTGGGAGACTGAGGCAGGCAGATTATCTGAGGTCAGAAGTTTGAGACCAGCCTGGCCTATGTGGGAAACCCCATCTCTACTAAAAACACAAAAATTAGCCAGGCATGGCTGCGGGTGCCTGTAATCCCAGCTACTTAAGAGGCTGAGGCAGCAGAATCACTTGAACCCAGGAGACAGAGGTTGTAATGAGCCAAGATCGTGCCACTGCACTTCAGCCTGGGCCTCAGAGACTCTGTCTCAAAAAAAATGTGTTATATATATATATATATATATATATATATATATATATATATACACACATACACACACACACACACACACACACACACACATATGTATATATATATACACACACACATATATATATATGTATATATTTCATTTGCAGCATTATCCTTAAATGATACAGGATCCCTAAGGAAAGAAATTGTGGTCCATTACAGGGAATGCTCTTTCCATAATACAACATTGTAAATGCTGTTAACTGGCTTTTCAGCTTTTAAAATCCAGTTACAGATATAACAGGGAAAACAAATATGTTTACAGAACAAGAAAGTACATGTAATCAGTCTCAACAATGCACAACCAAACTGGACAGAAACCGAGAGTTGGAAACAGGGTATGGGTAGCCTGGTAGAGGCTGTCATGTTCTTATGTGGTTAAGAAGCCCAGAGACTGCACAACATTGATGAGTGAGTGAGCTGAGGTTTTCAGTCTTTTACTTAAGTTACAAATTTGGGTAAGTAATAGAATAATATGACAGAAACTTAAAGGACTGGAAACCGGAGGGGAAGTAGTACCAATGGAACAATAGCTTTTCGGGCTAGCAGTCGAAGGAAATAGGCTAGCAGTCGAAGTATATTACGAGATCACCACAGGAACTCTAGAGAGATGTGATTGAAAGTGGTAACCTCTGGGGAGGCAGGACCCAGGTTTAATGTCATATAAATGATTGTTTTGTTTAAAAGGAATGAGAAAAAAAGTGTCATTGATCAGCAGCAAAATTTGTTCAAAGGAGCAACATAACAATCAGATATCCTGGTGGCTTCTTGCTGTTTAGTTTTAGAAATCTTAGGCAAAGAAGCAGTTCAGCGATGAGAAAATACGAAATGTAATTACAGATATTTTATTACCTGAATGTTAAATGTAGCCTGTAACTGTTCTAAATCTTCCTAAACTTGCCCTTTTACAGGAGAGGAGGGGAGGATTGCTCAGTGCTGGTATAAACTTTTGATTGCCTTTCTCTTTAAGATCTTGGATTTTTTTTGAGATTAAAAAAAAGTGAACTTTTGTAAGGTTCTTCTCAAAGACTTAAGATCCATGGAATAATCTAGAGCTTACTCTAATACAATAGTTAAACTCTTTTCATATGCAAAAATTTCACTTTTTCCACAGAAGAACAATGCTATCACTGAAAAGCAACATTTATTGTATATTAGGGTGAGACATACCCATTTCCAAGGTCCGGGTAACCAGGCCCTGGGATCGCATCCCACAAGGTTGTGTGGATGTTGCAGGTTCTGGCCAGGATATGAACCCTGGAGGGGGTGGGGGGATGCAGCCAGGCAATGCCGTGTGTCTGCGGCACCATCCTGTGGTTGTGATGCTGTATTAGAGCGTGTTTTTGTTTCTTCTCTCTAGGAAGGCCCTTTTGTCTGCTTGTCTTTAGTAGGAAACGTTGCAAATTCCGATGGCTTGATAGCTTCTTTATGTAAGTAATTAAAAACATTTGCATTTGAAATGTTGGAGGAGGTTTATTGCAAGTGTGACTGTCAAATGCCTCTATCACATATTGTATGATGGCATTTATATGAAATGTTCAGAATCGTGAATCTGTAGAGACATTGTAGCTTACTGGTTGCCTGGGAATGAGCGTAGGTGTTGGGGTTTTGGGGGAAAAGGAGGAGTGACTGTTAATGGGCATGGATTTCTTTTTGGGGGTAATGAAATGTTCTAAAATTAGATTATGATGATTCAAACCTGTGACTATACTAAAACCAATTATTTAAATATGTAGATTGTGTGGCATGTGAATTACATCTCAGTAAGCTGTATGTTAAAAAAATACTTGAGTCTGGGCAACATAGCAAGACCCTATCTCTAAAAATTTTTTTTAAATGAGCCCACTGTGGTGGTGCATACCTGTAGTCCCAGCTACTCAGGAGGCTGAGGTGGGGGAAACTTTTGAGCCCAGGAGTTTAAGGCTGCATTGAGCCACAGCTGCACCACTGCACTCCAGCCCAGGCAACAGAGCAAGGCTCCATCTCTAAGAAACAATTCATATCATTCTCCATCCAGTTTTGTTAAAAAAAAAAATACATAAAATAAAAAATGTTTGTAGTGAGTGCAAATGGAAGAGTTTGTGGCATTTAAACTGGGTGCTTTTTCCATACTTTTAATATCGTTTCTTTTTGTTGTACATATATATTTGTGGTCTTGTAGATCATTTCCAGAAGTCTTCATGCTCATTGTCAATCAACCAATATTCAATCAATTAGCATCGATGTCCTCCCATGTACCGTGTCAATATCAACAAGTACCTTTGCCACTTTATAAAACTGCCTTGCTCAGGATAACTGCTTTTGGGTTTTGCTTCTGAAACTTTGCGTCATTTATCTCATTTCTTTTGTGACTCTGAAATCCTCTCCAGTTAGGATCTGTGTGGGACTCCACACAGTTTACCACTAGCATTAGGAAACGTCTAGAGAATTGAGTAGGCTCATCGGTACTTCCCAAAGGAAAGTGTGTCATCTTTGATACCTCAAGTCCTAGCAAAGGAGCCTGAGCCCCATTGACCAGAGTTGAGCTACTTCAGATCCAGGGGCTCAGCTGAATGCAGCAATGCACTTTTGAGCGGCTGCATTAAACTCTGCTTGGGGATTGCTAGTGAAGCCCAGAGGCTGAAGACCCCAGCCTGAGTCATGGCTCCTCCCTGCTGAGTGTCCTCTTCTCCCCTTTGCCAGACACTCTGCTGACACCTCCTTCCCTGGTTTCCCTGCCTGGCATGAGAGAAAGCAAACAGCCCAGATTTGGCTCAATCCCGTGAAATGCAAATGTCTAACAGTCTTTCTCCATCCTCTTCACATTTACATTACGTACCTTAAAGAAGTGAGAACTAGCTGGATGCAGTGGCGTGAGCCTGGAGTCCCAACTCCTTGGAGGCTGAGGCAGGAGGATTGTTTGAACTCAGGAGTTTGAGTTCAGCCAGGGCAATACAGTGAGACCCAATCTCTAAAATCAAAACACAGTAAAAACTCATTTAATGAAGGTGTCCTTTATTTTCATGAAAGTAAAAATCCAGTAGATAATGTAAAGCAAGTAGTACGTCCCAGACTCCAAAGTGCACAGAATCACCTGGGAATCTTACTCAAATGCAGATTCTGATTCTGCGGGTCTAGGACAGGACCTCCTGAGGATGACCTGTGTTCTGTCCTTGGCTTCACCAGGATGCGGGGCCGGCCATAAACTTCATGAAGACTCAGCGTCTCCTAATCTCTACGCCCTAGTCAAGAACACAGCAGTGGCTCTGGTAGAGGAAATCCTAGCCTGACCCTTAGTTTGCATCGCTTCCCTGTAAACCTCACCGAAGCCCAGTTGTCAGTCGCAGAATCATGGAAATGATCACATCATCAGGCTTTTAATGTTCCTGTTTGCCGTTTTATTGTTTCAGTGTTTAATAAGCAAACAAATGATAAAAGTTTAGCAGCAGAGGAGATGCCAGAGGCTTGATGGGACAGGTGGATTCCAGGGCCCCTTAACTAACCATCCCCTACCTTCCTCTCGGGCATTAACCTTCCCACACCATCAGCAGTGCTAAACTGTCTGGAGATTCAGACACACTACGTTCTCTCAGCTACAGACTTCTGCACATGCTTCTTCCTGAAACAACCTTATTTTCCACCCAGATTTGAAGTTCCTTTTGTGGTATAAGGCCTGAAATTAGGATTCAGTATTAT